TTACCTCAGGCTGTGGTTGAGCTGCATCAGTTGGACGTTTGCTTTCTTCACTCCTTCTCAATATGCATTGCAACTGTGTGATCACGTCCTTCAGTTCGCTGCTGTCCCCCAATCTCTCCGCTGTAAGCTGAGGAGCATCGGATTGGCAGGGTTTCTTCGAATTCTCAAAAGCGAGAAGATACCGCTGGATCAAACGCCTCATTATCACGCGACGCTTGATTAAAAAAAATAAATAAATAAATAAATAAATAAATAAAAAACCAGAAAAAAAGTTGTTGGTCTATGTTTGTTCATGAAAGCCTTTATAGCTGATTTATATGATGTACGATTCATTTGAACAAATTATCGAGGTGTGGAAAGTCTTGGATCAGGACGCCTTTTTCTCTAAGACCGTACACCATGGAAAAGGATTACCAGTCGTTTCACCGACCTACGCCAGAGTCGTCCCATTAACGACCAGTTTAAGAACCTCTCGGGTCGTTTCACCAACGATAAGCGAGATCATCCCATAAGATAAAAATTCATCCCAAGCGTGGTTAACAAAACAACGTACTCAAGCAGATCCTACCGGATCCTAACGTGTTACTGTGACTGGAATGTGGGACTGCTTAGCCGTGGAAGGTCTGGGTACGAGAGTAATCTCTAATACTTTCTTATGTTTTCTTCGTGTTTTTTTTTTCCACAGGGCTTTGGGGAATGCCTTTTCATTAAAATTTTATTGCCGTCACATCGAGCCTTAGCGTTTAATTTGGTTCTGCGAACGTTAACACGTTTAGGGTGTATCAACGGTTGCATCATGTACACCTACCCTCTGTATATCCACCATATTTCTCAATTGCGACGCTGATGTTTCTCGCCTTGTGCAGCATCCACGCTAAACAAAGAAGAAAAAGGTAAGCAGAAGACGAACTAAAAATCTCTACCAACCTGCTAAGTGTATGCAACAATGATCAAACGTGCTGGACACGAATTCATTGTTACGATTCACTGGAAAACGACGATATAAAATCTTCAAGCCTCTCCACCTACCATGAAGGAGGACGGATCGGCACAAAACCTTCTGCAGAGACGGATTACCGAATGAGGAGGAGGAATGAGGTTGAACGGCGGCGGCATAACGTTGCCTTCGTCTAGATAAGACATCCACATTCGAGTTCTCGAGAACTTCCACTGAACATCCTCATCATCCTTTAAAAAAAAAAAAAAAAAGAACCAGTCGTTATTTGTTTTCAAGAGGTCTGCGAAAAGGTATTGCAAAACCGCAGTTGAAAGTTATCATATTCCGCCAGATATGCATCAAAGGGCGGTGAGTCGCGGCTTGTAGCAGCGAAAAATCACCCTACTTTGATCGTTACCTTTTGGGAGATACACCTTCAGCGCAACAATAATTACCACATGCAACTTGAGGAAACTCGCTTAAGTAAACAGGCTTTCATTGATTTAACTTACCGCGACCCTCTGAAAGGAGTTCGACATCATGGCAATCAGCATGTTTAGGGCGACCAAAATGGAGATGATACTATATAATCCCAGAAGTACCTCTCCTGTGTACTTAGTGATGATGAATCTCTTGTTTGTGCTCAGGTCCGAGAGACTTCCCTTTCCAAACAACTCCCAGAATAAGAAACTTAAAGTTCCTCCGATCCTGCCAAAATTGAACCGTCATATGGTTTATGGTGTATTCAATACCTTAATAGCAGCATGGGCAGAATTGCTAAGGTTTACAATGTATTTTAAAGTTGAGATCGGACGTCAGCATGACATATCCCCCCCCCCACCACATCCTTTTTGTGCCACGCTGTTTTCGTCACATTTCTACACGAAATAAGGCAAGAAATATATAGGAAACTAATACTGAGCCATTTCTGGTTGCCTCTTTAATAACTGTTGAATATCGTAAATAATGACCGGCCGAAGATTTTAGGAGGGATCACATAGTTTTTAGGAGGGACAGAGTTGGATCAATCGTCGCCAACAGAGTATGAAGGGGGGCACTCAAAAAATTGACTGCAATCTATCGCAAAAAGAGTAGGGCATCATCAGAATATCACAGACCCTTGGGTGGGGATCAGGTAGAATTTTTATCGTGACACAGACAAAATCCTACGACGCCTCCCTCCCCTCTTACCCGGGGGATAAATAATGACCGGCCCCCTTGGAAGCCCACATATACATCCTTTGAGGCAACATGCCAACGACTCGTGCAAAAAAAAAAAAAATTGTTGAAGCAAAGCTGTTAGTTATCATTTTAGCTCAGCATTTGCGAGGAAAACCTGGCAGTGTACCTAAGGCTTAGAATTAGGGTTACACGTTTCAGCCCAAAGAGTTGCAGTAACAACGGTCCGTTATGAAAATAAAGTGCGATAGACGAGCTCCATTTCTCAGCCGTCATATCGATCAGAATCGATCAATTGTATGTTAACAGTCTCAACTCGAATGTACATTTCCAATAATCAAATGTATCTTATGGATCGAGGCTCGAGTTTCGAGGCTCGAGTTTCAGGTTCGATTTTCGAGAATCGAGAGTCGAATTTTGGGAATTGAGTTTGGAGGGTCTGGTTTTTATTTGACTGCAGCAATTCTTAAAATCAGTTGCCTTGGGTAGGGTGAATGAAGCATGACGTGTACATGTTGCTATCCTCTACCAATTGGGGTAAAACTCAAGGCACGAGTATCTCTTTTATCACCTAGGCAAACATTATATTTTATACCCACGAATATCTGGTACTTACTTGGAGAATTTGT